TTCGCCAGTTCTTCGCGGAAGCTTCGACGAGGGTTTCGACTCAGGTTTTTCATAAGCTTTTCTTTACGTTTTGTTTATGATTTCTCGTGTTCTTCATTTTGATGCTATGTTTGTAATGAACTGAGCATTTTCTTTTAGAGAAATGAAACCTTGTATATGTTGATTCTGATTTCCATTTCTGTTATCTATTTGTTGTTCTTTGATTCTGTTTATGTTTTCCTGTATTAAATGCTTTCGATTGTTTGGCCAACAGTTGAATTGATTCTAAATGGGAATGAACTCGAGAGAGGATTTCTCGTTTGATTTTAGGAAAACATAGCTCGGGTTGTGGAAACGGAGACGTGATGCACCTCGGGTAGCCCTTAAGGACTTGACCTAAATGCTCTCTTAATATCAGGTTCTGAACGGAGACGTCGGACCTGTAGGTAGACTCTAACTACACTGGAGACGGGGGTTAGGGTACATTAGCGTCTGGGTTAACGAATAAGAATGTGGCATTAGATAACGGATTTGTAGATCGTTGTTGATTATACATAGGTGGATTTGTCGTTACTTTATTTACGTACATTCCATATTTGCATGTTTACGATCTTGCATGCTTATAAATTAGGGATTATCACCAATCCAAATATTTACGATCGACTAGATAATATAACGATAATATAATTACACTACTCAACATGTGAATCTACAAGGTCCCTGTGGATCGATATCCGGAACCACTGTTCTGCAAAATGCGATACTGTATACTTGCGGTAATTTATACGTGAGGAAAACGCGTATCAAGTTTTTGGCGCCGTTGCCGGGGAATTAGTTAGTCTTGAATTTACTAATATCGTTACCAACTATTCTTGCTTTATTTTAGACATTTTTTCTTTTATTTTTTTTGTTTTGATTTTTTTCATTTGGTTTAGCAGATTTGTATACATTGATGGCCTCGATTTATGATATATCTCTTTACGAGATTCAAACCAGTGCAAATTACATTCAACAAGAGTTGGAGGATATTGGAAGACATCGAAGGTTGAACCTAGAAAATGGAATTGCACAGAAAAATGAGCACTTGTGCTATTTATAAGACGAACTCCACTTTCTGGCAAATATTTTTGAAAATTTTCAGAGATGTCACATTCACAAACCACATCCGACCATCCTTTATGAAGACAACGAGGTATTTACAGATTTTCATATGAACGATGAGGTTGATCACCTTGAGGGAATTATTCATCCCAATTATGTAGATACTTTTGCATGTGATGAGAGTGGGATGAAGATGATGGTAGAGGAACTTGACGAACAAAATTATATCCACATTGTTATTCCGAATTTGAGTGTGAGCGAGGAGACGAGCTTCAAATTTGAGGTAGAGCTTTCTCCAAAGCTCAAGTATCTTGTATACGAGTTTGAGAGATCGGTAGGCAAGCAACCCATCCTAGTCTCCTACCGACTGATTTCCAAAGCAAACGAAAAGTACCATGGGTTGGGATGGTCATTAAAAGATTCCAATCTAGTCCATGATATGATTGCAAAGTATGTATCAAGATTGATGGATGGATGCGCAATCTACAAGGCTTTGGATTGGACATAAATCGTCCAAATTGTGTCGAGCCGTCGACTGTAAAACAGGCGCTGAATGGGAGGCAACCCATTATTTAATTTTTGTCATTTATTTTGTTAGTTTTCTTTTATTTTTGCATTTTTTGGTTTAAAGCTAAATTTCACCCATTTTTCTTGATTTTTGCCGTAATCTCGTCCCCAAGGAAAGAATAGTAAGAAGTCGGGAAGTCTAGACAATTCCGGCAATTCGCCCTCGGTGCCAAAGTCCACGGCACCCCGTGTAACCAAAGAAAACTTTCGCCACTGCAGAACACTGATCAATATGCGGCACGACTGTTCAGGGCGTATTTCTTTCTCATCTCTTTTATTTTTCTCATTGAGGGCAATGCATGATTTAAGTTTGGGGTGCGTTTAGCTTATTTTCTTTTTGGTCTTTTGCATGCATATCATATAATTTAGTTTCATTTATGTATTTCGATTTTCGTATTGGTGTTATGTTTGTCACATGCATTTCATATAGGATCGAGTGTAAGTTGCATTTCCGGATTCTATTGAAGCAAACCAATTAATGAATTAGTAGACTGGCTAGTTGATTTTAAAATTGAAATTGTGGATAACCGGCTAATAATAGATGAACCTTCCGACAGCGTTTTTGCAACTTGTGTGGACAGCCTTTCGAATCCTTTCCGATTAAGCTTGAGCGCACTTTTCTGAGGGGTATAATAGTCTGAGATTTGGGGGGCGAGTTAGAATTGAATTATGTGTTCACAATTCGAGTTGTTGGCTAAAAGTTCTATCAATGGTCTTTACGTTTTTATTTTATGTTATTTTGTTGTTAAAAAAAAAGAGAGAGAAAAACAAAAAAATATATATATGGTATTGTTGTGATTCACGCTCTGATTTCCTAGCCTTTCTGACTCGAGCTTAACCCGTTGGGTGCACCTCGTCGCCTAAGTCTCTCGAGCTGTCGAGCTTGGGGGTTTCTTGGACTAAAGTTCGATACATGGGTCAGAGAGATAACATAGTGGTGTCGAGCCTTGCACGAGTCACGACTATTCCCATTTCAAAAAAAATGGAAAAAGAAAAAGTTGTGATGAAAATCACCAAAAAAAAATGTTGTTGTCATTTTTTTTCTATTGAATAAATAGACCTACTTATGCCCAATTGAATTTTTGAATTTCAGAATCAAAACTTACTTTTCGTCCACATTTCTACTCAAAACCCTCGATGATTGTGTTTATTGTTTAATTACGGATTCTTGAGTCTATCTTTCATTTTGGTGTAGAAACAACTAATTGCGTCGGTAGGAAAGTCGAATATCTTAAGCCGTATGCCATTATGAGATTTTAGGTTATCTAGCTCGTTTCATCTTTGGAATTAATTGCAATGCTTTGACCAATCCGGCAACTTTGTGGGTGTGTTGTCTGAAAACCCTCACGAGACACAACTCGTCCTTTGGGGGTACCCAGGGGTTCAAAGGCTTGTTGCATACGCTAAATGCAATCGTGATTCCCTACGTCAGTAGCCTAGATTTAGTTTTTTTTTTTTTTCTTTTTTTTTTTATGTTGTTGTTTTGTTTTGATTTACTCGGGATGAGTAAAGATCTAAGTTTGAGGGTGTGATAAGTGTTCATTTTGCATGATTTTCACTTATCAATTCTTCGAGTTTTGGTCTTCGTTCGTCCGAGTTTTCGGCTTTATTTGTATATATTATGTTGTTTTTGTTTTATTTATATTTTAGGTAAAGATAAACTATTTTTGCCGATTCGAGAAGATTTTGGAAGCAAAGCCGAGAATCAAACCAAACACGTGCAAAAGTGCATTATTGCGGATTGTGGCAGTGTTTGGTATTTCAAGCATTACTTTTGCATGCGACCTCCGATTGGGCTGATTCAAGTGGATTTAGAAAGCTAACTTCAAGGGCTACAACTTTTTTGAAATGCACAATTGTCGAATTCGGGCTGAAAAAGAGTGAAACAAATGTTTGAAGTTGATGCAGAGGCCAGATCGCGATCCAGAAACACCGGATCGCGATCTGGTGGCAAATTCCAGTAGCAGCGAAAAATTGGGGCAGATCGCGATCCACACCTCCTGGATCGCGATCTGGGAAGGCGGTGCGCAGTTTTTGAGGTTGCCAGATCGCGATCCAAGAAGCCCAGATCGCGATCTGGGCACATAAATCGAGACTAGATATTTTTCTTTGATTTCTCACTATAAATAGAAGGTCTCTTTTTCATTTTTCGATCTCTCGACCATCTCTCGACTTTTTCTTCGATTTCATCTTCGGTTTTCGCCAGTTCTTCGCGGGAAGGTTCGACGAGGGTTTCGACTCGGGTTTTCATAAGCTTTTCTTTACGTTTTGTTTATGATTTCTCGTGTTCTTCATTTTGATGCTATGTTTGTAATGAACTGAGCATTTTCTTTTAGAGAAATGAAACCTTGTATATATTGATTTTGATTTCCAGATCTGCGATCTATTTGTCATTCTTTGATTCTGTTTATGTTTTTCTGTATTAAATGCTTTCGATTGTTTGGCCAACAGTTGAATTGATTCTAAATGGGAATGAACTCGAGAGAGGATTTCTCGTTTGATTTTAGGAAAACATAGCTCGGGTTGTGGAAACGGAGACATGATGCACCTCGGGTAGCCCTTAAGGACTTGACCTAAATGCTCTCTTAATATCAAGTTCTATACGGAGACGTCGGACCTGTGGGTAGACTCTAATTACACTGGAGACGGGGGTTAGGGTATTTTAGTGTCTGGGTTAGCGAACATAGAATTGACAATAGATCCGGATCTATAGATCTTTATCGATAGTACACTGGTGGATTTTTCCCTAGAAGCCATCACACGTCGGAATTCTTCGTTTTTACTGGCGGACCGTTGTTTTTATTTATTGTTCTTTTTAATTTCATTTTTCCCATCCATCCTTGATCGTCTAGATAAAGTTTAGGATAGTATAATAACGGTAGTTGGTAGATTTAGGAACTTAATTCCCATTGGATCGATATCTGGAATTCACTATTCTACAAAACGCGATATATATATATATATATATATATATATATATTTGTATAATTATAACCACTCATCAATTCTGTATTATCTTATGAAAAAAACCTTATGTTGATAAGTTTAGGGGCGTTTATTCGGTAAAGGGTACGCCAAATGTCATACCGTTTAGCGTTTGGTTCGATAAATAACATAATTACCAAAATTTTATGAACAATATTTAAAATTTTGATTATTTTTTTAAATTTTTAATTAAGTTAAGTTTAAAATGAATATTACAAATATAAAATAAAATAAAACTGAAGACATTTTAAGAGTTGATGTGTAAGACAAAAAATAGTTGAAGGTTTTTCCTCGTAGAATTAATTTATTGTAAAAAAGTATTTAAAAAACTAAATCTTGAGTTATATATAATGAATGAATTTTCCATCTGCTGGGCGGAAAAAGCGTAGTAGAAAGCTGAGATTCGCCGGCGGCCGTTCCCTCCTCCGCATAACGAAATGGAAGAGAAGCCCTCGAATCTGAGTTCCTCTCCCACCTCCGGCAATTACGCCACCAAAACCACCCAAGAACTCTCCGTTGAAGGCCAAAATCACCTTGAGGAAACTATCGATGCCGCCTTCTTAATCCTCTCCGCCATGAACGACGAGCTCTGCAACCCTAGCCTCTGGTCCACCACCTCCACCGCCGCCAATCCCAGCACTACTCACCTCGGCGGCGGTGGCGCCTCCGCTAGTGTGGGCAACGGGCACCAATTGAACGGCGACGTATTGTCGGACTCCTCCTCCGCTTCTTCCTCCGCCTCCGCCTCTCAGTCTCATCCTCAAAATCACAACAGCTTTGACATCGGCGGTGGCGCCCTCGACGAGGCTAGGCTGCAGTACAAGTCCTCCGTCGCTTCACTGCGGTCTGTCCTCACCGCAATCTCGGCTGCGCAGAAGGTATGCTTTTGTTAGTTGTACGTCGTGCATTTGTGCTTGTACCCTCTGATTTTATGTTACAATTCCTGAAAAAAAAAAACTATTTTAAATATCTTCCTACATGGAAATATGGTATCTTATTTCAATTCAATTGTCAATTGAAGTTCTTCCTCTGTGTGTGTGTGTGTGTGTGTGTGTTTACAAGATCTTTTCATTTGATGTTTATATCCAAAACGATGAATTGTTTCGAGTTCGTATATCGTTATATCTGTTTTTCGAATGTGATAATATGAATGCTTCTGCAAAATAACACACCATTTTATTTCATATAATAGTATCTCTCCATTATCAGTAAGCAACGATCGTTTTTTTTTCCCGATTAAAGTAGGCTAAAGTACCCGAAATGGTTCCGACGAGTGCTTCAGTATCTCTGACTGATCAAACGGAAATAGAGCAGCTTGAAGAGCAGCACTCTATCTTAAGAAAGGTACTATCACTTAATTTCGCATTTGCATATATTTTGTAATGGTCCCTAGTTCGTTGCTTCATTTCTTTTGCTGTTACGGAACGAATAGGTCCGGATTTCGTATGTGAAATTGAAATTGAAAAAAAAAAAAAAAAGGAATCTTGAAATTGAAATTCGAGATCGGTCGTAAACTGTTGTAACGAAGGACGCGGGGCGAACTTTACTTTGTCGTGTCGTAGACATAACTGGCTGCTTATTTATTGTAGATTCTGATATACTTGTGACAAACTGTTACAAGGATGCGATAATGTGTTAAAAACGAGTTATAGTGTTCTTTTTCTTCTTCTTCTTCATTGCGATCTGGTTTTTTGTTTTTGTTTTGTAATTCATAGATTTGTGCACACGAAGCGTTTTACGTGCGGAAAGTATCCACTGATTATCCATTGTGGTTTAAATTTGCAGGAAGTCGGAGAAAAGAACAAACAAATCAAGATCTTGATAGATCAGCTTCGTGATCTTTTGGCTGATATATCTACATGGCAAAGTCCCTGTGCAGTATGAGGCTAATTTACTATTCATGCAAGTTAGATATTTGCACAAGGTATGGAACAAATAGAATATACCTCAATTCGGAAAAAAAAAACTCGTTACTCTTTGCAATTTTTCGTGTTTTAGGGAGTCGAGGATGAAGCTATTTGATTCCTCTTAAAAGTTCATAATTTATTGTTGTTGCTTTTCCTTTCCTTGTCGCGATACGAACTTGTAACAATTTCGATTTTGATTTTGTGCAAAATTTAAATGTTGTCAAAACAGTGATCCATCCATATATTATTATTAGCTTCAATTCTCAGCAAAATACCGATACGAAAAAGGCTGAGAAGCCAAGAAACAAGAAACTCAAACCACACACTTCCAAGGGCGATTTCGTCTTTTCAAGTACTCTCCCCTCATCCAATTTTTATATCCGCGAATCTGTTCTCGACCGATTCAATTCAATCCACTCGGCTGGGGAAAATACCCAATTCACCCTCGCCAATCTCCAAAGCAGCTAAGAAAGCTTCCACGCGTGTTTCACCTCAAGAAACCGTAAATCTAGCAACAGCCAGCTATAGGGACAAAAGGGTCTTTTAGCACCGATAGAGGCTGACAGCTAACATCCTCGATCCCTTTATGGTACAACACTTTCTGCACGTAGAAAATCAAGTAGCACTGCAATGCTCTGACGACCTCTTCGTCCACTTCGTTTATCCAAGCGTCGTCACATTTGTACCACCGGTTCCTCAAACGTAAGTAAGTCACGTAATGTCCGGATTCCAACATCCCAGAATGAGTCACCACAGCAAAAACCTCGTACTCTGTCGGAATATCCGTTTCCTCGCCCTCGAAGGAGAATATTCTATTCCCGAATCTTTTTTTCACTATCGAAGAGGATAAATAAGGCCTCATGTCCAAGGAGAATGGGAACTGCAAATGGCGGTCGATTTTTCTCGACATTTTTCGAATTGAAGAATGCTCAAATCTTTTTATGTGCAAGCATAATACCAGTGGAAGTTTCCTGAGGGACATTTGCTTTAAAGAATCTTGTTTTTGCTGACAGTTTTCGCAGTATAGCTTTTGGTCTGATCCTAACTTTTCCGGTCTGGTGAAGAGTTCTAAGCAACCTGCGAGAGAGGATTCTGCTGAGGGCTTTTCGGTCATTTTCTTTGCCTTTGTGGGTATATCGGTGGGGCCCGTGTTTAAGTCGAGAGAAATGTCGAGAAATGGATCGTAAGTTGAGGAAGTAAATCCACATGATGTACAAGTGACGTCGGATCTTAACAGCCCCGAGAAAACCCTATGAGCAATACACTGGCAATCCTCGTTTTCTGTGAGAGAGAGAGTAAACATTTTTATTTTAATCAGTGAAAATTGTTAGATTAATCGAATCTTTCGACTCATATGAACATTTGAATTAAATCAAACTATTTAAACTATACTCGGTTACCTTTAAATGCCAGACTAGCTTTGCCCAATTTTTTGTGAATCCCATCGAGCACTGAAATAAAGAACTCGTGCGCATCTTGCTGCTCGTAACTAGCAAGATTCTCCGAATGCTGCCACCAGCTGAAAATGAATAATACAATTCAAAATTAAACCTAAATACGATTTTACAATACGGAAATGCTCAGGTGTCACTAATTTTTCGATCTTTATACAACGTTCGCAATAAAAAGACGATTTAAGCCAAATCATCATCCCATAAACACATCTTTCAAGCAACAAAAGCAATAACACAAAATTAATCTAAATATGATTTTTCTCAGAATTACGGAAATACATAGGTGCCACTAATTTTTCGATTTTTACACGAACATTCGTAATTAAAAAGACGATTAAGCCTCATCATTCCATAGACCTATCTTTCACTTCAAACAAGAAAGCAATAACTGAAATCCTCCATTCTCCAAACAACAACAATCGATAAATCGGTAATAACCAACAAACGATAAATAATACGTGCAAAAAATACCCGATTCAACGAGATTAACCAACCTGTAAAGAAACTTAGCAGGACTATAAGGCGCCTTTTCACCCGAAAAAACAGCCGAAAAAATAAACATCTCGTCGCCAAGGCAAAACACAAACGGATCGTCGGGAGCTTTTCCTGCAGCTCCTCGTGACTATGCTGATCGCCTAAAGAAAGTAATCCCCTCAAAGGCGGGGGCATGAATCAACCCCTGCAACCCCGGAATCATAAAACAAGTGCTGCCGAGATTATTCAAACCCCTCAACCCCAACGGAACACACGACTTCGATTTCTTCTTCCACCTCAAAACAACCGATCTCCTCTCATTTTCCGAATCGAATCCGCCACCGCCACCTCCAAAATCCAATCTTTTCCTCTTACTAAACCTCGATTCACCGTTTCCCGAAAGCCCGTTTCCGATTCTTGGCAATCCCATCAACTGTTTGCTCACAACCGCATTGTCGAATTCGGGATCGTAGATTTGATCGCAGCACACGCTGCAGTAAAGCTCGGCCCTTTCGATATCGATATATATATCGTGGCCGGGTAACGATTCACTGTGCAAAAGGGTGTGATCTGATTGGGGGGTTTTACAACATATCACTGAGGAACAGATCAAACACATGAAGAATCTGCCACCGCGGCGGTGGTGGCGGCGGTGGTGGTGGTGGTGGCTAGGACAGACACTGCATCTGGGCATCTCTGATTCGCACTTGTCGATCTTTGCGCCGCCGTATGGGCTGAATTTCAGTAAATCTTTGATCGAATTGTAACCCGTTACGCCGTGTTTGGACTTGTAATTAAGCAGATGCTTGCATTGGTTAGGGATTGTGTAGGAAGAATTTCTTGCTGACATGATCAATCAAAAAATAAAAATTGAATCTTTATTTATCAAATAGGGAAACTGGATTGTGGAAAGAATGGTGAAGATTTAATCAGACACTGAAAAATCAAGAACCGTGTTGATCTGATGAGGTATTTAGGGTTGACTTAAAAATGATTTTGAAGTTGTATTAATGGATTAATTTTTTTTTTTTTTTTTTAATTTATTAAATTTTTTTTTTTTTTTTGGAAGAAATGAAAGTGAAGAGTGGTGGCAAAAGGTTGAAGGAAGGAGACCGACTCATGTTTTCTGGTGTGGCTGCTGACTACAGAACAATCTGTTCAATCCCACCCTACTTTGCTGGACAGATCTCAGCCGTTGATTTTTGGTGATTAGATTGGGCCATTGGATATTCGTGGACCCCACATCAAATTCCAGGCGGGTATATATGTTAATTACATTCCTAAAGAAAATTGCTCAGCCTTTTTTTTTTTTTTTTTTTTTTTTTTGTTTTGAAAACTATTTTTTGCTCAATGCGTGATGATGATTTTTTTTTTTCTTTTTGTAATACCGATTTTATATTACCTTAGGTGTAAAAGAAATCATATACGTGATATTTCGATAATTATTAATTAATTAATTAAAAGGATAATTTCTTGAGTTTTATTGCCGAAATAAATGTAGTTTAATTAATTTCCTTTTCGGGCTTGGAAAAGAACACAAAAATAAAAAGCCCAAATAAGAAATAAGGCCCAAATACAAAAACCAACGAGGCCCGCATCTCTTGTATTCATTATTCTCCCACATCGAGAAAACAAATCATTTATTTGTACTTTATATAATGCTGCATAGTAAGTATAAATTGTCCCTTCGGGGACATCCGATAAAATTGGAACGATACAGAGAAGATTAGCATGGCCCCTGCGCAAGGATGACACGCATAAATCGAGAAATGGTCCAAATTTTTTTTTTCTCTTTTCCCCCAATTTTACATAACAATGTTTTGAATTGAAATTTTCTATAATTCTTTGCAAAAATCGTGTGCTTATATAGTATACAATTTCTTCTTTTTTTTTTTTGGCTTGACTATTCAAAAAACCAATGAAGCAATTTTACATGAACTATTTCTTGATACTTATAAATAAACAAAATATTAATTTTCGTGATTTTGCATCAAAATCAAACCGTTTAATGCTCTTATTAGGGCAAGAAATAATGGTAATATTTTCGAATAGAAGTATCGTTATTTTAAGTTATCACATGTTGGTACATTGGTTTTCATTTTGTCTAGTCCTTGGATGAACTCTGGTCTATGTTGTTGTTTTGATGTTTGTTTTAATTTCTACCGAGTTTTAGTCTTGCGTTCGACTTTACTATTCCCGATAAACCTTATTTGTCATGGAAATTATCTCTAATTTGATTCGACTGCGTAGCCATACAAGAAATAGAAAATCAAGAATGTTGTCTCTGAAATTAATTAGGGTAATCATTGAATGTACTAATATAAATATATTACATGTTCTAAAATCAACTAATTAACCCTCCCAAAATCAACGCGCTCGAAATCAGACCTAAACTGAAAAACCTCGCGCGCATCTCTAAGCCTATCCAACTTCACCTTATTGATCAAACTTCGATCTTGAATTTTGTAAAACACGACTTCGTCAGCAGCCTTCAGGAATAGAATACCAGCATTGTAGATACCAGCTGGATTAGCGTATCTTTCAACCATGTCGTTTATAAGTACCTTTTTACAATTGGTCCTCCAATTGATCTTTGACTCGTTGTCTTCGTCGGTTAACCATAGTTCCATGTTAACGTTGTTGTTGCTGTCTTCTTCTTGGGTAGTGCAAACCAATCCTAGCCTTCCCTCGTACTCCACCAACTTGTTCGATAATCTGTTGTTGTCGGTGTTGTGCAAGTGTTCTGGCAAAGTGAATATATGGAAAGATTCTTGTACTAGGTTAAATTTAAGGATGTTGTTGTCGTTTGTCAGCCAGTGGATCGAGTTGTTGATCAAGACAGGTTGGGCTGAGTCGCGTATTAACTCGGGGTACGGCAAGTTTACGTCTTGTATTTTCCTCCATGCCCGTGTTTCTGAATCGAATATCTCGCAGTAGTATGTGCAGTACTCAGACCTAAAGAATATATTAAAAAAAAAAGATTAATGAAATTATAACAGCGAAGAATTAAAAAAATCGAAACAATAGGTAAAAATATATAGAACGTACTCTTTAATACTGCCATCCCGCGATAATCGGACAATCTTGTAGCGCAGAGGAGTCGACCCGAGAACCATGATTGCCATCGAAACGGTAGTTGTGCAATCATCAAGTCGAGGTTTGGGCAAATCTTGCCATTGTTGAGTAGCCGGTTTGCAGACGCAGTACTGATAATCGTTAGAGTTCCTTTTTTTCAGACAACATAAAATCCCTTGATTGCATGAGGCCAATATCCTCGTATTCTCAGGCAACCTTAAAAACGGTAGTTTATTATTATTATTATTATCGAGGCACACAAACATTGATACGTAGTTGGACTTTCGAACGTCTTGGACGAAATATCCGTACAAGTTGTTTGTATTTTGGCAGTAAAGAGGCATGAAACTCGATTCGTAGATAAGCTGTTTCCATTCTTTGCACACGGACTTGCATGTGTCCAATGTTTGCAACGACGTTGTTCGACTTATAATGTCGAATACTATGTCGGTTGGAAGTTTTTCGGACGATGATTTTCCCATCTTTTGGGATTTTAATATTGATAAATATTCTTGAATTTTTTTTTTTTTTTGAGATTGATTCTGCTTTTGGATGGTGAAAAAGAGGAGAGAGAGAATGGGGTTTATATAGAAGGTCGTTTAGTTGTGCGTGAAACAGAGTCTCCAAGTAAAAGGAATTAATTTGAATTTTGAATGGAAACAGTCTTGTATTTGGTTTAGGATTTTGTTGCTGATTTAACTTAATTTAAAACATCCATACATTATTTAATTTCTCATAATTAATCTGTTTATCTATTTACATCCAGCAGATCCAAATCCAAGATTCCCTCCAGCAACATCGTACACCACCTCCAATGTCTTCTGCTGACTGTTCCCGAATATGCCCACGTCACCATCGTCGCTATTCCCTGCAAATGCCAGGCACACGCGGGTCCCACCGACCGCCACAATTATCCCCGATGGATCCAAGTCGACCCTCACATTGCCTCCGAATGTAAAAGACACGGTCGGCACAGTCACGCTCGTGTAGCCGCTCAGATCGTAGCACGTGTCCAGTATCGAATAAGCCGGTGCTCGCTTGTACTTGGCCATCATCTTCTTGAACGCACCGCTCAGCGCGCTGTACGCGGTAGGTGGGATCCGCGAAATCACCGTCCCCGAGTCTATAATGGTCCCACCCGCCTTGAAAACCGATCCGCTGATCGCCAGCTGGCGCCCTCCCACGCTGATCGATACAATATTGATGAAGTAAAACGAACTCCCTTGTTGGTTAGTGACGAAAGGGGTGAATTTGACGTTTCTTGAATTTCCGGTTTTGCCGAGTGTCAAGTGGCCGGTGGAGCTCGAAGTTGAGGGGAGGCAGTACGAGAAGTATTTGCCGTACTTTTGTGCCGTTTGTGAAATAATCGATAGTTTATCCCTTCCGAGTCCTAATAGTCCTGCGGTATTACCGAAAAGCCCCTGGTTGTTTTGGCCGCATCCGAATAGGAAATCTTGGAAAACCTCGTTCGGTGCTATGGTTAGTTTGTCTTTGCTGAAGAATCCGACGGAGAAGGATTGGTCACCGTATTGAATGCCGTACACGCATGTGGCGGCATTGGTGCAGCCGGGGCTGTTTCCGGTGGCGGCAGAGAGCTGAGAGCATTGAGGCGAGTTGCAAGATACATTGGAGTATGAAGTTGAGTCGGAAGGGTTAAAAATCGGATCTTGCTGTTGGTAGCAAGATTTGACGCACGGCTGGCATTGAGTCCACGTCAGATCGCTGCCTGTGTCGAATATGAGGGATAGGGTTTTTTGGGGTGTGCCGAGGCCGAGGGTAACAATGTAATTTCCCGAGCCGAGTGACCGGCCGGATTGGACGGGGAGATTTACCTTTTTGCCCTTGATTTGGTTTTTCGTGTACGAGGTTTGTTTGATTCGGGCGTTGATTTTGTCAACTCGGATTTGGTCGTGGGAGAGGATTTCGCTTAGTAGCGGCGGCGGTGATGTGGCGGCGGAGGGGTTGTTTGGGCCACGTGAGCATGGGCCATGCTGGTGGAGAACTTCCAATGTTGATTGTCTCTTGTTGGAACCTGATTCAAGTTTTTTTTGATCAATTAGATACTTCTTTTTATTTTTTAATTTCTTGAAATTGTTATATGCTTTTGTTTTCTTAGTGCAATCAAAAAATGTCACAATGAAACACTTAAAAAAGGATAAATTAAGGCCACGGCCAATGTAAGGTTAAATTACGAAAAAAATCCCTCATGTTTTAAGTAATTACAATCACCCCTCAAATTTTCTTACAGACACTCTTGTGGTGTTAAATTTAGTGGAATCTTCTAGGTTATATGAAATATTCTCAATTTTGTACCCGTTTTATCTCATTCGAGCTCCACATTTTGCAGTAAAATAATCATAAGATGCGTCTCTTACTCTCTTAGCTTGTAAATATCAGATTGTGGTGCATCAGAAACGACATTTTTGCACAAACTAGAGAGAACATTCCACGGAATATAGAAGATTTTGTTAAATTTGACACCATAAGGATAGACATATTATAAGAAGATTCATAGTTGATGGAAGTGATTGTAATTATCCAAATATGAGGGGTTTTTTCGTAATTTAATCTTCCTATAAGTTTTTGTTTATTGGATGAAGAAAAAAGCATAACTTGATATTGAATACAGCTGTGCAACACTTTTAAATGTTTCTCTTATTTTGCTTAACTTAACTCCAATAATGCAAAAAAATTAGGTAGCAATAATTGTCATCAAAAGCAAAGATATATGAAACATGCATTATATATATTTCCTTTTGTCTGAAAACTTTTGAACTTGCTAATTAATTTATAGAGACACTAATCAGACAGTTTTAATTAGACAACATGAAAATAATTAAGTCATCTGTATAACTAATTAATGAACAATGAACCATGAAAAAAAGCTAGAGAGAGAGAGAGAGAGAGAGAGAGAGAGAGAGAGAGAGAGAGAGAGAGAGAGAGAAGAAAAACCTTTGAAATTGGTGGAAGGAGTGCAGACAGAGGCTGGCAAAAGAGAGCTGATTTCAAGAGTGTGGTAATGGATTTCAATGGCAGCAGCAGCAGAAGCACTATCTTTTCTTGCTTCCGAAGAAATGAATAAAAGAGAAGATGAAGAATACAGCAAAAATATTATCACCATTAATGAATAATTTAGACTGCAGGCCATCATCACTCAATATTATTTTTTTTTTTTTTTTTGTAATAAGAAAGTTTTTGTGTTTCTTGACTTATGTATTGTGGGATTATTGCAAATTCATCGGCATGCATATATATAGATTTTTTTTTTTAAGATTCCACGTCACCCCACCATGGAAATTTTTGTCTCCTTTTCTTATTGAAAACATAGGAGGATTTTTGTAGAATAATTTAATAAGTCTTGTAAACCAAATCGAAAAATTGTTTTGTCAAAATTGCGAATTATAACTCGTAAAGAATCTTAAATCGTATTTTATGTAGCAAAAATTTCTTTAACAAAAGATATATATTGCATAGAAAATCTACAACCAAACGAGAGTTATATGATAAGATGTAAATGTATTGGTAGTATGAGAAATTGTCGTATTTAACTGGTGTTTGTAATTAAAAACTTATATTCTAGCACAGTTCTTAATTTTATTCTCAAAATAAATATATATTCAGAAAATCTTATAAATTGTACGATTTTAATAATCATGCTCTTAATATATATGTCTCTTCTAGTTAAAAAAATTGTTCCACATGGGAAAGGAAGGCCAATATGTAAAATGTGTGATCTAAATATTCAATATTACCCTATTTTGAAAGAAAAAATCCTTTTATTTTGTATATTTCTCCTATTCATTATTTTATTTTATTTTGTTCTTTGGGAAGCTTCTTAAAATCACCCACAAGTCAAATAAAGAGTGGAAAAGAAAGACCTCACCTAATTGGTCACTAGTCAACTTTGAGTTAGTGGTGGCACCTCCCAATTTGATAAAATTGGACCATTTTTTACTCAACAAACTTAGTGGTAAATTACCAACTTTAATTATTTATTTTGTTTTATTTATCATTATGTGCCTACCCACTTATTAAAAAAATTATGATTGTTGGTACCATGCAGGACAAGAACAAGTTATACCAATTATTACTCTATTCCGGTTGTCAAAGGCTGCTGAGTGGAGTTTGTCACACATAGTTAATCGTATAATTTACGTTTCTCACATGATTTGCAAACTATCATACGAATGTATAAATTTTCTCAGTGCATTTATTCAGTTGATTGCGGGTTCCTTTGTTACCAAAGAAATAAAATAAAATAAAATTATTCACCTATTTGACGAAAATAAAGGTCTAATTAGTTTAATCCATGAATAATAATTGATGTGGACGGCTATGCTAATAATATATAAAAATTTATTTTCACAGATGGGTTTTTTTTTTTCTTTCAAATTTAATTATTGATGTTTGTTAAATAGATTGTTATATTTATTATTCTAATTGGTAATTTCACTAATTGGATGGAAGGAATCTTACTTTTGTATGGTCCCAAATTTGTTATTGGTGTAAGAAAGGCTGGAATGACAAAATTCAAGATAGATTGTCCCCTCCCTCCAATCGAATCTTGATTTTATTATAAGAACTAGGATAAATTACGAAAATCCCCCAAAACTTAACCTAAATTACCAAAATCCCCCTTATGTTTTTTCAGTCTTACACCAATCCCCTTATGGCGTGAAATTTGACAGAATCTTTTTAATTCTAGGGAATGCTCTTAATAAAACTCGATCAACAGCTAGTCAGGGGGGTTTTGATAAGTACTGATAGGGGTGTTTTTTGTAATTTAACCAAAGTTCAAGGGGTTATTCGTTATTTACCGTAATGAAATTTGGCCCATGAATTGATTTAATATTACCATTAGGTCCTGGTCCTGGATCTGCAAAATTAGCTTCAAAATATTCATACTTAAATATGAAAGAACAAAAAAAAAAAAAAAAGAAAAAAAAAAAGCTGATCTAAGAATAAATAACTGATGAGAACCCTATACAGCATATTACTGCTTTGTTTTTTTTCACCTCATTTTGCAAGCCTTCAAAATTTGAGCCATTTCTTCTCTTTATCCTTTCTAGCAACTGCTTTCGATGTAGACGCGTGCGCCACCTCAGCATCCGCCAGTGCCTTTCGAGTTTCGTTCAGCTTCCTCATAGCAGCATCGTAAACCGCCTTCTCTTTCCTGTTCCGATTCACCATCTCTTCCAATTTATCACATTGGAATCTCAAAGTCTTTACCTCCTCTTCGTAAGCAAGTAGGGCCCACCTGTCCTCTTTCTTCTCCTCCACATTCCCCTTATTCTGCTGCTTCTTAACCGAACCCCCTCCATTTATCGAACCTTTACCATGCATCGCTAGTCGAGTGTTGATAAGTGAAAAAACATCCTTCGATTCTCCTTCTTCTTCAGCAGCTTTAGCTGCTGCTGCTAACTTCTTATCACGTTTTCTCTTACCACCTCGTGTACGTTTCTTCACACGGGCCACATTGTTTTCTTGGTTTCCTTGATTTTTTACAGCTCGATCGAGAGATTGCTTAGGTGGCAGAACCTTCACAGAGATGGGATTTAATATTCCTTGTCCAGTTACACCTAAACCCATTCCTTCACGATAGCCCATATTCGCCATCATCTTCGAAGCAATGCCTCGAGTGTGATTCTCCCACGTGGCGAAAATGGCGGTTTCCGTTTGTACCCCTCTCTGTGAGTTTGTGCTCTCGAGAAACCCTAATCCTTGAGAGAAGTCTTCTTCTTCGGAGTCACTAAAATTAGAATCAGAACTTGTGCAAGTATCATCTTCTTCGTTCACTTCGGCGTATTCAGACAAGGTAATGGATTCAGTTCCAAGCTTTAATGAAGTTCCATCGTAACGAAAAACGACCTCCCCCTGTCTGAGTTTCTCGTCCCATGATGCCAGCTCAGCTTCTCTCCAGATCCCCGCTTCGCGATCTGGTAAAGCCCAGATGCTGGACCCCACCAGAGACTGCTCCCATGTTGTAGGAATGTATTCTTTTAAGGAAGATAATGGGACGTCAATGCCTGAAAAAAACAGTAAGTAAAATGACACCAGTTAGGTTGTAAGTACTCTAATCACACCAGTCAATAAAAAATATTGAGTAAATAAATTATATGTATTTCATCAAGACACACAATACACAAATAGGGAAAAAAACAAGAAAAGACAAAATCGAGGAATAGAGAAAGTGTATCGAATGGCTAGAGTCCGAATTTGTTCTGGTTTGAGACATACCATGTAATAAGCGGCAGTTATTACCAAATCGACACCGTTGCTGTAGAAAGAACTTGCACATCTGCACTAGGGTGGTCTAGTATTAGTGAGAGAATCGGATAAAACCAGCTTTCTCATGCATAATGAAAATCAAAGTGAATGAAGATTAAACACACACCGAGCCATAAGAATAGTGGAATTCTAGAAAGTAGTTTTGAGGTTACTGACTGAAACAGAAAAAGATATATGGATATTGGATATAATTAGTACAAATTGTAGATAGTGGGTAGCATAAGGGATTGGAAATGTGAGGTAAAATCAATTTGTTGTTTCAATTGCAACTGCCATTGCAAAAATCTTTATCCGGGAGTTCTGGAATCTAATTTCAAGAAATGTTCAGTCGTCAAAAAGCACTACTAGAATTTTAGACAAACCGTCAAGATGATTCAAGTAGTGCATGTGCCAATGCATATCTAGAGAGAGAAGAAGAATTCAGCTTAAAAAACTGTTAAATCCAACCAAAATTTCACGTAAATAATACCTCGAGCAGATTTCGCCTGTCATAACTCAAAGATTTTCAGGCGCATAATCAGTAGTCAACTACTGCGAAAATCCCGGCATGAAACTGAGATATATTACGGAACTACAGATTAAAAAAATATCACCTTCCATTGATCAATCTTATGCCAAGTTCCCAACTAGCCAACTCAAAGATTTACGAAGAAATCAGTTTAAAACTTATCATCTTCCCTTGATCAGTTTTATGCATAAAAGTTGAATTAACTGAGATCGTAGATTTAATAGAAAAAGAACTACTGATATATAAAGGAAGTAATAAACAGAAGGATCAAGAATTGAAATAAGATTAAGAAAAGTTAACCCACCAACATGCTTTCAGACGTTGGATTAAGAAAGGTTATCTTTGCCGATTCAGAACCTTCCAAACCAACAACGAGCCCATTGTACCACCTTCCATCAGTATGGCGGAATCTACATTTTGAGCCGACGGAATATTCCTCATCCACCAATGGTTCAGCTTCATTATCTCTTGGATCCAGAAGCTCCACTTTGACATCATTAGAGCTCAACGAACCTTCCAAAATAGAATCCGCCTCTCTCAACAATCTCGATTTTTTCAATTGAAAAAGGCCCTCCTCAGCATCTTTTATGGACTGAATAAGCTCAACATGAACCTATACAATACGTAACGTACAAGTTAGAAGAGACACTGAATACGTAACTAAAAGGTACAATTCAGCCTATAAATTTCCATCTCAGCTACACTGAATACGTAACTAAACAGAGAAGTTCTTATTTTATCGTTAAACAAAATGTTAGCACGCCAGATAAGGGCTCGACAACAAACTCATAAATTACTAGTCGTTACTGCACATACACTGCAAATGAGAAAGAATTCTAAGTTTAGGTGTTCGATTAATAAAAAAACCGCAAATCAGGTTGCATTAGCACATATAATCATACTTAAAGCATCATGGTAAGATCAACAGCAACCTTACGAATTACACTACGAAGTACTCACCATTCGACATACATCGAAAACAAAAATCTCAAGCAAGTTGGCCCAAGAATTAAAGTAAATGCACAAAATTAAGCTTCAATTGGAATCCCCCCTTAGGTTAAAAAGCTGGAAATTCGCGAACAGACAAACCAAAAATTGAAAAAAATTAATATTACCCACGATAAATATGAAATATGGTAAACAATTCATAATCAATCGCAACGCAATAAATCACGAAAATAAATAAATAACATATGTATGTACAGATTGAAGGGAAGCATTACGTACAGAAAGAAGTTCGGCGTTAGAGGGGTCGGAGGAGAGAGCATCGTTGACGGCGGAGAGAGAATCCTTCTGCTCTTGGAGTTGGAATTGGAGCTCATCTTCCACAACCCTCTCTTCCTCTTCATCCGCCATTGTTAACCCACCGAGTATACTGTGCGCCCTCCCACAATGTGTAAGAAGTAAGCGCTTTTCAGTTAAATGAAAAGAAAAGAAAAAAAAAACAGCGATTTATGCAGATTGGTTGTTGCCCCAATATTACAAAAATGCCCATTTTATTTAAATAACTACAATTACTACCCCGTATATGTATTTGTCCTAATAAATATTGATTTTATAAAGAAAAAACAAAAAAAATATTATAACCAAATTACCCTTCCACTTCCAACTAATTCTCTTTTTGTTAATTACTCTCCACTTGTGAAAATAAATATTTTATAGAATTTAGGAATTATATAACAAGAATATATAATATTAATTGATGCAACGTTCGTATTTTAGTTTTACGGTATTCTAAAGTATATGGTCGAATCTAACCACACTAGGCTAACCATGTATGACAAGTTCAACCCGACCTAGCGACCGTTAGGCTAGATAATTCGAACCTGAATTTAACCACATCAGGCTAACCATGTATAACAAGTTCAGATTGACTTAGCAACCGCTGGCAAAATAATTCGAACTTTGGTCAATTGACACAAACTCACATGCTCCAATCGTCAGGTCATCAATTGCGGAACAGATCTCAACCTTCAATGTACTAAGTACGAACCACATTATAAACCGTTCATGAATTCGGAAAATCATCTGAAATACGAAACTAATTTGTATTTTTATTCAATACAAATTCGATTGAAATTCTAACAAAATGATCCAATTATTTGTGTCAAATTGCGATTTCCGATGGTACAATTTGTTACAATGTCAAAAAAAAAAAAAAAAGAGTCATCAATAACTGGAAATATTTGGATTTACAGCAACAACAATCGATCACTTGTTCGAAATAAATCAAAACAATGAAACTATATACCTATATATACATACAAAAGTTGCAGTATATATGTAATGATCAAAAAACGGTGAATATCAAATTCAGCATCGATAAAGCATATATACTCGCGTACACACTCCCTTATTTGGTATCAATCGGGGGCTCTCCCAGCCACTTTGCACGAAAGCCGGTTCCTTTGCAATCAGAACAGCACGCAGAACCCTAATAAATAAATAAAACATGGAATAAAAAAAAAAAAAAATTTCAAGAATCGGAATCGTAATAATAATAATAATAATAATATCTCAACTGATTAAGTTTACCTTTCCGGAGCAGATAACGCATGTAGTGTTTCTAGAAGGTACTTGGCACAGCATGTTATCGCCGAGAATGAAGAAACCAGTTCCACTGCACCATTTGCATTCCACGTGCCCCTTCGATTCGCACGAAGAACACGCAACGGGCCTAGGTTGCTGCGCATTTTTTAAGACAAATATTTTGATAATGTCAGAAAATTTAAAAGCAGTGTTTGGTAGGGTTAATCCTTAAAATGTCAGTTAGCCAATTATACAGTTTTCGACTGCCTTGATCGATCGATTGTCGACGACACTATTCAGTCATGTCTTAACAATACTCGTAAAATTACACTACCCGTGTACAATGTACATTTGATCCTTTTTTTTCTGATGGATAGTTAACAGATTAATTTCACCTAACGAAGAATACATCTTCATTTAGCAAAACAAGAAACTCAAGGTATGGAATAAATTGCCGATGAAAATCCCGACTGATAAAGTTAAGAATACATCTGCATTTGCTTGATTCGGCTTCACAGCTTCAAGCAAGCTCCTAATACCGAACATATTTCATACATCTCAACTATTCAGCATATCATAGTTACGAGTCTTCGTATTCAGAATCTCGGTCGAAATTTTTTTTCAAGAAACCTTTGGTTCAAGACTGATATTAATAATAATACATCACAAACACGGGTTCGTCTCTCGTCCAACAGCAGCACATATTGTGGATAAAGCATAAATCTCCAAAATAATAATTTCCCGATTACACGGGTTGCTATGTGGTCACTCTAAGTGATCTGGTCTAACAAATTGTAACGAGTTTCGATTTACTTCCGATTCTATAAGTACATGTGTGCAGTGGAGCACCGAATACTCAAATGAAAATTGATATTATGAAATTCTCATCTTCTCCACCGTCGAAATCGAGAAATCGAAACCGTAAAATCGTAACAACCAGATACTTGGAGGTCCAAGCTCAAATTCAATGAGCAAACTAATTTTACAATTTATCACTGAAATCCAACATAATCAAATGAACACGAATTTTTCAACCATTCAACAGGGAAACCCATTAAACACTTGCCCTAAAAAAAATAAAAAAAAAAGGAGAGAGAAAGTACCTGAGAAATCAACCAAGCACGTTCCATTCGTTGAAGAAAATTAGGGTTCCCACAAGACTCCACCTTTGAAGCTCTTACACAAACCCTCTTCGCCCTCATCAATTCCACCTTTTTCGGCTGCATCACAAACAAGTTACTCGGTCTACAGCAAAAACAACAGCTACTCGACATTTCTAATATCTTCAATTACTTTTTTTGCCCCCAAAATTACGGAATTGTGAATTCTATGGAGAAGAAGGGTTCGTCACAATTTCGAATTGGGTCAGCGTAATTACCAAAACGGAGATATTTTGGTTGTCAGATTGCGTGTTGTGAGTTTATTTTTGGTGGGAATTTTGTCCTTTTCGTGTACTAATTTTGACAATTTCTTGTGGCGCAGACGATTTTTTTGCTGAAACTTCAGTCGGGTTTACGAGCAAGAAGTGAAGATAAAACTCTCGGACCGGCCGCGGCCGGTTGACAAAAACCGGATCCTGGATATTGGACTGGGCCGCAAGTTAAATTTCGAACGAGCCCTCATCAATTAAAACATTTTAAAGGGCCTTTTCTTAAATATTTTGAAAAATTAAATAATTAGGGTGAGTTTTGAAAATTAATTTTCAATTTGGATTAGAGGTCAAATTGTATATAATGGATGATATTTTTTTTTTAATTAAATCAAAACTAGCCAATTCGAGAACCCTATGCCGCGAGCACTAGGGGTGGTAAATGAGCTGAACCGGCTCGTGAACTCGATGAGCCGACTCCCTAAAAGCTCGAACTCTCGAACAAGTTCGAACTCGAGACCGAGCCTGATTATAGTTGTTCGACAGCTCGTGAGCCTTTTTACTTATTTGTTTTTTATTTAAATAATATACATAATAATATTTGTTTTAATAATTTATTTTTATTTTTATAGTCATATAAAGAATTTGAGCTGATAAAATAAAAAAATATTAATATAAAAATTAGAAACAAAAAACTAAAAATTAACTAAATGAGGTGAGCTCGATGAATCAACTTGAACTTGAGCTTGAAGCTTGGAAAATGAGAGCTCGAGCTCGAGTTCGAGCTTTTAAAATGGGATACGAGCTTGAGCTTGAGCATGTATATTCTGACGAGCTCGGCTTGTTCGCACCCCTAGCGAGCACTCTAATTAGAATAAACAATCATAATCGTATATTGTTAACATAAAAGCGAGATTTCCGTGGAAATCGCTAGAAAAATGATCGTGACTTTCCTAGGCCTCGCCCTTTAAAGGTAAAACAGTCATATCATGATGGCTCAGAGGGCACGTCAAATTAGAATCAAGAAATAAAATATGAACCATAAATATACTTTAATTCACCATGTGTACAATTTATTTTTAATTATGAGTAATATTTAAAAAAAATAAATTAAAAGATAATTTGGTTTTATGCTAAAATCCATGCATTATACACTTTAACCCACAACCAAACAGCACCTCTCCTCTCTTGGTAGAAGGTTCGATCCTGATTCCCTGAAACAAAAAAATCTCCCCACAGTAAACGACGCCGTTGTGAGCAAAGAGAGAAGAGAGAAATATGGACAAGGGCAAAGCTGTAATGGGCTCCGGCCGGCGGTGGGCCGTTGATTTCGCCGACAATTCGACGTCGCATTCGTCGCGCGATATTCCCGATCCACCGGGATTCACTCGCGCTTCACAAGAACAGGTAATCTGCGAGCTTTAATTGATTCGATTTTGAGGGTTTTCAAATTTAGAAAAAAAAAAAAATTGGGTCTGAACTACTGTTTTTACTTGAATTCTTTGCGTTAGGATGATTCGGCTGTGAGTAAACAGAAGAAGGACGCTGAAGCTAATTGGAAATCCCAGGTATATTTTATGCGTCTAATTAACCTAATTTTGTATAGGAATTGCTAGTTGGGGGAAATTAATTTATATGATGTGTTCTAGGTTTACGGTTGGCTCTGATTGCAATTCAATTTTTTTGTTGATTGATTATGTTGATAGTAAGATGTATGATGGTTCTACATAATGTAATTTGAGCAGCTATGTTAAATTAAAGGGAAAAAAATATCTATTTACCTTCCGATTGAATTCATGCTAAAAAATCGAGTCTTGGATAATTTTTTTTTTTTTATCTCTATAATAATCGAAATGTTTCGATTGTATGAACAGAAAGCATGGGAAGTTGCACAAGCTCCGTTTAAGAACTTGTTCATGATGGCGTTTATGATGTGGATGGCTGGTAGTACAGTTCATCTGTTTAGCATCGGTATAACTTTTTCGGCTCTTTTGCAGCCCGTTAATGCACTTCGAACCGTTGGGAAAGGTGAGTATCGTTTTTTAAGCTTTGTCTATTTTTCGTTTCTTTTTGAAATTTTCACTCTTTTTCGTTTCTTTAAATATTGATGACTACCATTAATTTTGAATTCCGTAGTTTTTGAGCCATACAAGGACAATAAAGTGGATTTGCTAGGGCCGAAATTAGTGTTTATCGCACTTAATTTGGTAGGCTTAGGATTCGGCGTTTGGAAGGTTGGTTCTCTTACTCTTACTCTGATTTTCTTTTTTTTTTTTCTTTTTTTTTTTATATTTTATAAATTAGTGTTTATTATTGCATAGCTTTTTGAAGCATTTCTGAAATTTTGCGAAAAAAATCGTTTGTTATCGACAGCTCAATACGCTAGGCCTTCTTCCAACTCATGTATCGGATTGGGTTTCATCGTTGCCTCCACCTCAGGTTTGACGTTTGTCTTAAATATCATGGTCCTGAAATTTCATTTATTTGCTTAAAATGTTTGTGGTCTCTTATAATCGAGCAATTTGATGAATCTTTAATTTATATAAATCGAAATGGTGTTGGAGCCAAGTTTCGTTTTACTAAGTGTTTAGATAGAATCTGGATTCCACATCCAGCAAAATTCTTACATAATTATCATGTTTCTTCCCCGAGTTTTTCGCATGTTATAGCTTTTTTACGAGTCTTATCTCCAATAATGCATGCTTGCTAAATTTCATGTCATTTGTTTCAAATTATTACAAATGGATTGTTTATAATTTGAAAACATCTCCAACAACTCTTCGGTTAACAAAATATCACAAGATTTGTGTGTTAACGTAATCTTACGGGTTCTTATTTTTTTTCCTTCGTTTTTTAGGAGGTCGAGTATTCTGGTGGTGGTATTCCGTTCAATTAGCACTTTTTCTCCAGCGAGAATGGGAATTTCTGAAGAAACAGTATTTATTCTTCACATTCGATAAAAAAATCTCCCTTCATATTTCGAAATTTCGTTTTTTTTGTTTATAAGGCCAACGACACTTAGCATTATGTTTTTGGTTTAATTTTTTTTGTAATTCTATATGTGAAGATGCTTATTAATGAGGAAAAATCTTTAGCTCACTGTTTTATTATGCAATAGATTGTTAGTAGCTGAGTTGGATTTTGTTATATATATATTTTTTAATAATAATTCTGGTTGATTTTCACAATTAATATATGATAATTATGGAGCGTGAGAAGGAAAATTTTGATTCGATGAAATATTCTCTACTTTAGAAAATTGTAATTTTGGTCCTCTATGTTGGCTTATTTAGAAATTTAGTCCTCTAACTTGTCATGTTTCAGTTTTAAATGCAATAACTTTGCAAATATAGTAGTTTTAGTCATATTTTGCATGATTTTTAATTTTATGATGCGCCAAATAAATTTGATGCATTTTACTAATATGGACGTTTGGAAATTGATAAATTCGACATCTAATTATGTGAGATGACACATCTATAAATCAAATTAGAGGAGCATTTATAATATTTAAGTGTCCACATATATATAAATTTCTGCGAGTTTGTTAGGTACATCATTAAACAACGGCTGAAATTCAAACTTCGAGTGAAATATGACTAAAAGTACTAATTTTGCATAATTATTACATGTAAAATTGAAAAAATCCCTAAAGAGACCAAAATATAGGACCAAAATTATAATTTTCCCTTTTTTAGTTTGTACTCGTTTTGTGCAAAAATGCAGTTTCTGATGAACCACGATTTACTATTTACAAGTCAAGAGACATTGATCGCCTTATTTCAAAAAATGTGGACTGTAATTACACAAACGTGAGAGATTTTTTCGTAATTTACTCTATATTTATATTAAAAGAAAAAAGGAAAATGGTTATTTGCTTTTAACTTTATGATAGATAAATCCACAACCGTCCGATCCTCACTCGGCGATGTTTAAATATCTACACGATCGAAAACACACACAAAGACACACTCTCGCGTCTATCCAAAGCTCAACTGCAATAAAAAAAAAATGGAGCTCACTCCCCAGCAGCTGAAAAATTACGACGGCTCCGATTCATCGAAGCCCATCTACGTGGCGATCCGCGGCCGGATCTATGACGTCACCACCGGAAAGTCCTTCTACGGCCCCGGCGGCTCTTACTGCGTGTTCTCCGGCAAGGATGCCAGCCGCGCACTCGCGAAGATGAGCAAGGAAGAAAGCGACGTCGTTCCTTCCCTCGACGGACTCACCGAGAAAGAGATCGGCGTTCTCGACGACTGGGAGAGGAAGTTTCAGGCCAAGTATCCGATCGTCGGCACAGTTGTTGGCAATTAGTGAGTGTTTATTTAGTTTAAAAAAAAATGAAGAAACCCCCAAATTATTAGGGCTTAATATAGATTGATCGATGGGTCAATCAATTAAAAGGAACCCTAAGTGTTCCATTTTATATAACTTGTGTTGTTGTTGTTGTTGTGTGGTTTTGTTGCATGTGGATTTGTATGAATTGAATGAAAAAAAGAGTGGTTATGAACTTTTAGCTATTTCTGCAAATGTGTTTGGTTTCGACGAATAACTGAGGCTAATTTTCTTGAATAGGAACTCTTTTAGGGTTTAATGATTTGGTTTGGATATATGAAGATTGAGATTTTGGGTATTTTCATGTTACATGATTTACAGTGGATAAAATTGTCAGTTTTCTTTAGTTGCATTCTGTAATTCGGAAAATTTCGGAAAATGCTGACTTGGCCTTTTATGAGCATTTGATAATGGGTGAAAACTAAACTCTCGTTAGCTAAGTTAGTTACGTTTATTTGGTCCGTGTTAGCCGGATTACAAGTATGGTAGTGAGTAAAGAATGCAAATATCAATTGTGATTCTGCTTTGAGTATTAGTGGCTTCATTGATCTTTTGTGCATGCGTGGTTGTGTCTCCCCCCCCCCCCCCCCCCGAGGGTTCCGGTCCTTAGAGAACAGCTCTGTGATTATTCTTGTGTATGCTACCCAGCATCGTAGCATCGTATAGCTTATGCTTATTAGTTGGTGGAAAAAAAAAAATTAGCTCGGTGATTGGTGTGCCTTTGTTTCCCCTCTGTTTTCTTGCTCCAAAAGCCGAGATCCCTCGCCCACATGGGTCCGACATCCCCTCTGCTTTCTTGTTTATATGTCGACTGTCCATTATGGAAGATTTACAGAGTCATAATCGGGCATCTGGGCGCCGTTGGACCTGGCCACCGGCCGCCTCAAGCTCACCCTCACCGCCCACGCCCGCACCCTCGCTTCCAGCAAAACCCACACCCGCATTTTCTCCGGCGGCGACGACAAATCCATCAACTGCTGGGATCTCGAGCACAACAAAATTTTCCATTCTTACCACGGCCACCTCAGCGACGTCCACTGCCTCGCCCTCCACCCCAACGTTGATATCTGACTCACCGGAGGCAGAGACGCCACTTAACGGGTTCTGGGTTCTCAAGATTCGACTGTGAAATTGTGGGACCTACAAACGGCAGTGGTAAAGCAACGGCAACTCTCACACACCATAAGAAATCGGTTAGGGCGATGGTGGTTTCGCGCAATAAGGAAGAAGATTTTTTTGCTTCGGTTTCGGCCGACAGGCGACAGTGTTAAAAAGTTTCGGCTGCCGAGAGGGGAGTTCATGCAGAGTGTCGACACGGTTTCTCGACAGAATTCGATTATTAGCGTGGCGGCGGTTAATGATGAGGGTGTGATGGCGATTGGTGACAGGTGGCGATAACGGGAGCTTGTGGTTTTGGGATTGGGAGAGTGGTCGCAATTTGCAGGAAGCGAAAACAGTTGTTCAGCTAGGTTTGTTGGATTGCGAAGCTGGTATTTATTCTGTGCCCTTTGATTCGACACATGTTCTTGATTAAATGCGAGTATGGGTGGTTTTGGATTATAATGTTGGTTGTTTTATTAAGGTTAGAAGAAGTCCCGATTAGCATTGTTTCGATATCGATTTTTGCTGTTTAATTACGACAGGTGGCCTTGTCATGCATGTGTAATATTTCGATTTTGATACTGTAATGTAAAGAGTAATTTAGAAACAAAATCACGAAAAATTGCATACTAGCATCTAAGCTAGCACAATGTTTTCCGTATACTATAGCACACAATTTTTGCAAAGAACTGTAAAAAAAATTCAAATCTTTTTTATACATTTTTCCCCACTCAAATATATGTATAGAAGATGTTTAGCTTTATGTAGTCAATAAATTGTTCATCTAAATATTGTTCACTGATTTTTAAATTCGTAAATAAAATCACAGAAACTAGTACAAAATTGAGAATCTTTTACACAAAAAATTAAAAAAAACTAGGGTTTGGAGAACATAAAATTGGGGTGAAAAAGGAAAAAAAAAATTTGGACCATTTCTCGATTTATGCGTGTCATCCTTGCGCAGGGGCCATGCTAATCTTCTCTGTATCGTTCCAATTTTATCGGATGTCCCCGAAGGGACAATCTATACTTGCTAGGCAACTGTATATATAGGTGTGCATATTACCATATTTATTCAATGTGGGATAATATTGAAGGTAAAAGATGCGTGCCCCGTTGGTTTTGTATTTGGGCCTTATTTGTTATTTGGCCCAAAACAAAAGGAAATAAACTCTGGACAAGTTTAATTTCAAGGACGATTCGGCAATTAATTTTTATTTTTAATTTCTTAAAAGGAATTGTTTTCCAATCCGGACAAGGAAAGTAAAACTGATCCTAGTATAGTACCTATCAAATTCTGATTATTATTTGTTCAATTCAATACAACTTGCACTAATTATTTCCTTTTTTTTTTAAGACAAATCCTAAACCAAATACAAGATTGTTACCCTTCAAAATTCAAATTAATTCCTTTTACTTCAAGACTCTGTTTCACGCACATCTAAAACCCTTAACCGACCTTCTATATAAACCCCATACTCTCTCCTCTTTTTCACCATCCAAAAGCAGAATCAATCTCACAAAAAAAAAATCAAGAATATTTATCAATATTAAAATCCCAAAAGATGGGCAAATCATCGTCCGAAAAACTTCCAACCGACGTAGTGTTCGACATTATAAGTCGAACAACGTCTTTGAAAACATTGGACACATGCAAGTCCGTGTGCAAAGAATGGAAACAGCTTATCTACGAATCGAGTTTCATGCCTCTTTACTGCCAAAATACTAAAAACTTGTACGGATATTTCGTCCAAGACGTTCGAAAGTGCAACTACGTATCAATGTTTGTGTGCCTCGACAATAACAATAATAGTAATAATAATAAACTACCGGTTTTAAGGTTGCCTGAGAATACGAGGATATTGGCTTCATGCAATCAAGGGATTTTATGTTGTCTGAAGAAAAGGGACTCTAGCGATTATCAGTACTGCGTCTGCAAACCGGCTACTCAACAATGGCAAGATTTGCCCAAACCTCGACTTGACGATTACACTACCGTTTCGATCGCAATCATGGTTCTCGGGTCGACTCCTCTGCGCTACAAGATTGTCCGATTATCGCGGGATGGCATTATTAAAGAGTATGTTCTCTATATTTTTACCTCTTCTTGTTTCGGTTTTTTTAAATTCTTCGCTGTTATAATTTCATTATTATTATTTTATTTCTTTAGGCCTAAGTACTGCACATACTACTGCGAGATATTCGATTCAGAAACACGGGCATGGACGAAAATACAAGACGTAAACTTGCCGTACCCCGAGTTAATACGCGACTCAGCCCAACCTGTCTCGATCAACAACTCGATCCACTGGCTGACAAACGATAACAACATCCTTAAATTTAGCCTAGTACAAGAATCTTTTCATATAATCACTTTGCCAGAACACTTGCACAACACCGACAACAACAGATTACCGAACAAGTTGGTGGAGTACGAGGGAAGGCTAGGATTGGTTTGCACTACCCAAGAAGAAGACAGCAACAACCAAGTTAACATGGAACTATGGTTAACCGACGAAGACAACGAGTCAAAGATCAATTGGAGGACCAATTGTAAAAAGGTACTTATAAACGACATGGGTGAAAGATACGCTAATCCAGCTGGTATCTACAATGCTGGTATTCTATTCCTGAAGGCTGCTGACGAAGTCGTGTTTTACAAAATTCAAGATCGAAGTTTGATCAATAAGGTGAAGTTGGATAAGCTTAGAGATGCGCGCGAGGTTTTTCAGTTTAGGTCTGATTTCGATCGTGTTGATTTTGGGAAGAGTTAATTAGTTGATTTTAGAACCCACCCTAATTAGTTTTAGACATGACATTCTTGATTTTGTACTTTTGGTATTTCTATAGAGTCGAATCAAATTAGAGATAATTTCCATGACAAATAAGGTTTATCGGAAATAGTAAAGTCGAACACAAGACTAAAAACTCGGTAGAAATCAAAACATACTAAGCCAATCAAAACAACAACATAAACCAGAGTTCGTTCATCCAGAGACTAGACAAGATGAAAACCAACGTACGAGCATGTGATAACTTAAAATAACGATACTTCTAGTTGAAAATATTACCATTATTTCTTGCCCTAATAAGAGCATTAAACGGTTAGCTAATATATATACGATACAAAAGCATTTGTAGAATAAATGTTAATAACGTGTCAGCTTAAATTGTCGGTGCTTAAAGATACCCTAACCCCACACAAACCTTAAAAACGAAGATGCCAAAGAAATATTCCGAGACACATTCAATCTAATCGAAAGAGAACATGCCACTAAAAATGAAAAACAAATCAGCAATAAAGATTCCCCTAGACGGAAGAAAAGGTAATCGGAAATTTAAATTGGTTTCAAATCAACGAGAAGAAAATATCGTATACGAACTTGGTAATCATGAGAATACAAGAAACATTACATTATCGAATATCAATGCAATGGCAGATCAAATCGGAGTTCAAAAATCGAGATGCGTTTTTACTATGTTCCGGTTTACGATTATTTTCGAAAAAACTAGGTATACGGATCAAATAAAAAAAACATTCCAAATCAAGATTCATCAAATCAATTGACACAGTATAAATTCTCTCTATTTGACTAAGAAGAGAAAAGCAAATGATCAGTCAACTCAAAAAAAAAAAAAAAAAACCCTAATCTGCAGAAAAGCAATTGAACACCAGAAGCAAACAAATACAAAATCAAATTCTTCTTACATCTTCTAATCATCTGCAAATCCGAATATGTTTTTCACTGCTTCACCAAATTTTAGTGCCTTTTCGCTCTTGGAGGCTGCTTCTGAGTTGCTAATTTGTAAATCCAATAAACCTACACAGATTTTAAAAAAAATTAAAAATTAAAAAAAAACACGGATTTAACAGAGATTCGAGAAAATGATTATTGATCTCAAAATACAGAACACCGACCAACGCGAGCACGTGGGCAACGATGAGAAGAACGACGACGAGAGGTACGATGTCGAGAAACCATGGCCGAATCGATGCTTGCTGCTGATTCGCCATTAATTAAATTTTTTTTTTTTTCTTCTTTTTTGGCTCCCGCTTTGTATTTACAGTTGTGCAGAAGTAGTCTTAAACCCTTCTATTTGGGGGAAGAAGCTCGAGTTAATTACTTTTAAGCCCTCTCATCAACTAATATTTACATTTCATTTTTAGGGCAAATTACGCCCACCCCTGATGTATGTCCAAATTACGAAGAAAAAAATCATATTGTTTGGGTAATTACAACCACCCCTCATTTTAAATATTTTTACGTAAACCGAACCAAATCGTATGTTTAGTTCGGTAACGGTATGAAATGCTAGCGTACATAAATTTTGTGTTCGGTTTTACCGAATTAACATCCCTAAATTTATCTCTGGAGCGGTCTTTTCGTAAGATAATATATAGTTGAAGGGTGTCTGTAATTACCCAAACATAAGGGGGATTTCCGTAACTTGCCCATAATTCAGGGGCGGCTGTAATTTGCCTAATTTTTAAGGTAAGGTTATATTAAGATAAGAAAATAAGACTTTCACCTGGGAGCGGAAATCTGTAGATCGGAAATGACTTTCTCGAAAAAATTCTAATTTTCTTCGGAAAGTAATAAATAAGTTCCAATTTTTGTTCCAAAAAAATCGGAGGCAAAAATTCATTCTGGTTTCAAAATGCCTCGGAATTGGCACAATTTCTGTAAATTTCATTAGTTTATAATCTCTAGTTCCAATTTCGAATAAATCTATTTAATACTAAATTTCAAGTTTTAAGTTATCGTGTTGATATACTGTGTTCGTATTTATTCTTCTAAAATTTTTCATGTGTAAATTAAAATCCTCTCATTCGAAATGCAGCAAATGCAATTATAGTGAAAAAATATGAATATTACTCTGAAAAATATTTTTTTACGTTTTCTCATATGGTTTGCAAATTATTATACAAGAGTGTATCTTCGTCTCAACTGTGGTTTTTCTTCGTTAAAAAAATAAAAATAATAATTTATATATTTGCTGTTAGGAGTTTCTGCATATGTGTCAAGTACTAATAAACGTGTCACTTCTCCAAGCCTAGCCGTTTTCTTTCTTCTAATTGCTTGTTCCCCCCTCCATTTTGCTAGTATTTTATTTCTTACTTCCGTTAATTCTACTTTATCCCCAATACTATCTCTAAGTTAAAATTTACATCAGATTTTTTCTTACATCATTTTGTCCCTTCCAATTTAAAATAAGTCGATCACTAATTTTCTACAACATATAATATATTGAACCTAACTTTCCGAACACGAAAAATAAAGAATAAATAAATGTATATACACATATATTTCCACATTCACCTTCACTCATTTATATATTTTTCCTCGTCTACACCACATGTGAACTCAATTATAGAGTCTTGTTACATATAAAAAGAAGGTTAAAACAATTAAAGTATAAACTTAAATGTTATATACAAAACAAAAATATTGTGATTGAATGATATGATTTTTTTAATTGCTTTTTATGTAATTAGTTGCATCATATTTGAGCTAAGTAAAAGAAAATGATGAATCTTTGGGGGCAAATTACAAAATAAGAAAGTAAAGGGGCGCTCTTTCAATTAGAGAGTATAAGCGGCAAAATTGCAATTAACCCTTATTATTTTTTCAGTGAAAGAAACTGCAGCAATTCGCCCAAGAAAGCAGCACCGCTTGAACAAAACAAAACAAAAAAACATAAATATTCAGCTACGCATTTCATCAAACACCTTGGGATCGAGTATCGAATGGGATTGCATCTCAATTCGTAAGAGTTCTTAAAATTATCAGCAGCTTCTATCTCCATGAGGAGCCTGGTTGTTTTCCTCAAACGGCGCCGTATCACCGCCCACTCTACGGGTAATTTCTCTCTCTGTCGAGTGTTGATAATTTTCTCTCAATTTTGTGTTTACTGCACTGTCGGTTCAGTTTTTTCCTTTGAATTTTTTTGAATGATGTAATTGAGAAGGGATGTTTTCCCCATCATTTTGAGGTGTGTATTTTGTTCGAATTTCGCAGTTTTGAAGAATGGAAATTCTGCAGATACAATAAGGTGGAGGATGATGATGCTCGAAGGGCAGAAAGATCTTATTAGAAAAATGCACAATGATGATTTATTATCGCGCTTTTTACGACCACGATTGTAAGGCTACTAGTTAGATATTTGTGCTTTCAAATTGTTATTTGATTTCAAATGAGTAATTGATGGTCAATTTTATGAAGTTCTATATTATCAGATTCTACACTGGCTCTTCGAGTAACTAGTAATCGATAAATCCCTCTTCGTTATCAGTTGGTGTTGTTCGTGCCATAGATTTAGTGGATCAATTTTAATTTCGGAGAACTTAGGTATTCTCTCTCATTTTTCGTGTTTTTTCTTGAATTGATGCAGTTTCTCTAGTGCCTACTCTAGTGTGCATGGTGAAAGGCCTTCGGCTGAGTATGCAAAGCTGAGGAAAGAGTCGCTCGAAAGTCAATTTGGACGCGCACTTGGTTCGAAAAGTGTTTCTGTTGTATACCGTTTCGGTCCGTTCTTGGCTCTGTATAGAGCTGCAATTATTTCATTCCATGTGTTGAAGCTAACAATTTGGCACTTCTTCGTCCATGACATGAAAAAACGTTCGATCAAGGTTAGTTTTAGTACAATTAACTTTTCATGTGTACAATTGTCCTATTTGTAAATTTCTTTCACTATAAGTGTAACAATCGTTCGTATATATAATGAAAATCGGTGTCTATTATTGTTACTGTTCACTTTTTTCCAACTGTTGGTTTATTAATTCTCTAACAATTGCTTACATGTTGCAGTTTCGTGAAACTCTTATTAGCTTGGGACCTTTTTACGTGAAGGTAAGTTGTGTTTCATATTCTGAACAAATGGTTTCTGCGTTTTTTTTACTTATTATGGTTTATTATCTGTTATATTCTCTCATTATTGTTTCTATGTTATATCATGAAGAATACAGCTTTTGAAATTTTGAGTCTGGAACTTGTCCATCTATTTAAACAGTCGAATCTGTAACTTATTATCAGCCATGAAGCATATTGTAAGCCATGGAATCACTTAATTCAATCATTATGACTTAAAATCTTGCATTTTAATTTTTTGCGTCCTTCTGAAGGTTTTTTCAGCAGTAAAGCATGTTGTATTACAGCTATTTGACGATAAGTAATGCATGTAGCGACTGTGAGGTGCCAAATGGTCATTTTTTGTTGTTATCTTTGTTGTTATGATAAAGTGAACCGAGCTATAAAACGTGATCAAGAGGATCTTACTTATAACCTACTTTTCTATTTGCAGTTGGGACAAGCTTTAAGCACTAGACCAGACATACTGCCTACAGTATATTGCAATGAACTTGCTAAATTACAGGTATGCTGGTTTTTTCGTCTTATTTTATAATTCAAGTGATTGACGTTGATATTACAATTGAATTCTCGTACCAATTCCAGGATCAAATACCTCCATTTCCAAATAATGTTGCCATTAAATCCATTGAATCCCAGTTGGGAATGCCAATATCGAAGATATTTGCTGACATCAGCAAGGAGCCTATTGCTGCAGCATCACTCGGACAGGTTTATAAAGGTTAGGCTTTAGAGAACTGAGGTCTGTAAGGAAATGTATACATCTGTATGTGTTCTGTTCGGGTAGGAAGAGATAAAAACTCAAGAGGTCTCTATGGGGGGGTATAATGGGTATTCTAGCAAATTTGACTAAATGTCGGGTTGTTGCTTCAAGTTTTGCAGCTCACTTGCACTCTGGAGAGCTTGTAGCGGTCAAAGTCCAGAGACCTGGTATGTCCCATTCATTGACCGTCGATGCCCTGCTATTCAATATGATTGGAGGCCAATTAAAGCGTTTTGCCAAAGCTCGTAAAGATTTATTAGTAGCAGTGAATGAAATGGTGAGCTTCCTTATTGTGATTTTATATCATTTCCGTATAGCACTGTAGATACGGTTAAGAAACAATCAGGTACACGCTACGTAGTATTGTTTGTCAAGTCATTCTCGTATTTTCTATAAGTTGGTGGAAGGTTCTTCAGCATTAGTCTACTTTATCGTTTTTTGGATTGCTATTTTACGCTAAACTGAATCTGATTCTCGTTTACCCACAAAGCGCTGGTTGCTTTAAAGAATTAAGCCTAATGAGTTTATCGATATTTTGCTAATCGATAGGTGAGACATATGTTTCATGAGATTGACTACATTCTAGAGGGTCAAAACGCTGAGCGCTTTGCTGCTCTCTATGGCTGCGACTCCAGTATGTTCTTCCCGACTTTAGACAATTGCATTTTTTTTTACTTTACATACATACATATATGCGCGCAGACACACACACGCACACACGCATATATTAGAGAGAGAGAGAGGGAGAGGGATCAGGTGTATGGCATCTTAAAGTATTCTGTTCGTTGTTAGGTAATGAGAAAACATACTCAAAGGATTCAACTACGGCACATAAGCAAGTTATTGGTGTCAAAGTCCCGAAAATATATTGGAATCTAACCCGCAAAGCTGTCCTTACTATGGAATGGGTTGACGGAATTAAACTAACTGATGACAGTCGTCTTAAAGCAGCCAGTTTGAACCGGAAGCAATTGATCGATGAGGTAATAAAAGATTACAATGCTGTTTTATTATGGTATGACTTGTCCGAATTTAATCTTCTTGGTTTTTTTGCTGATTGATTTAGGGTTTGTACTGCTCTCTGAGGCAATTGCTCGAGGTGGGGTTTTTCCATGCTGATCCTCACCCTGGAAACCTTGTTGCAACCAAGGATGGTTCACTTGCGTATTTTGACTTTGGAATGATGGGCGACATTCCACGTCACTATCGTGTGGGACTAATTAGAGTGGTGAGAGCCCATTTTAGGTGTTCTTTTTTTTCTTCCACGAATATAATATTGTCTATTCGCTTATTTGGAATATTCCATTTGTCCAGCTGGTGCACTTTGTCAATCGAGACTCTCTTGGATTGGCAAACGACTTTTTATCTCTGGGATTTTTACCGGAAGGGATTGACATACAGTCCGTGTCAGATGCTTTGCAGACATCCTTTGGTGATGGAACGAGACTATCTCAAGATTTCCAGGTTCTCGTATTCTGTGTATCACATATTGTAGAATGTAGATCATTTCTTATTTACTTGCCTCAACTTATTAAGAATTATCCTCATTTGACTTGCAGGGAATAATGAATCAGTTATACGATGTTATGTACGAATTCAATTTCTCTCTCCCACCGGATTATGCGTTGGTAATAAGAGCTCTTGGATCACTTGAAGGAACTGCGAAAGTTTTGGATCCCGAGTTCAAAGTGGTGGAGAGTGCATATCCTTTTGTCATTGGTCGTTTATTGGCGGACCCCAGTCCCGACATGAGGAAAATCCTCGGCCAACTTTTAATCCGGAATGATGGCTCTATAAGATGGAACCGACTGGAAAAACTGGTGGGTATTTTCCTCTTTCACCCTTCTGTCATTTCTTCTTTCTGCAGTACACCTAAAAACTCATTTCTCCACATCCTTCACTATATTATACGATGCAATGTCTGTACTTGTTTGTGTTGTTACATTGTCCCGTTTATTAACATTTCGTATAAAACTCGGTTAACGTTTTTTAACTGTACACTTTTGTTGTTTTCAGATAGCAGCAATATCTGGACAAACTGATTCTGAAACCGACGGGGCTTCGTCAAAATCTCAAGAAACTACTACTGATCCATTAGGATGGAAGTCGTTTGATATGCATGCTGTTGTGTCTGCTACTGAGGATCTTTTCCAATTTATTTTGTCGAAGAAAGGCTCTAGGGTTAGGGTTTTCCTTCTCAGAGACATACTCGAGGCAGCCGATACTTTCCTTGAACAAGAAGTTGTTTCCTGCTTCTCCGATGAAGATTTTGAAGCGACCAGGCCAGAAGTTGAGGTTTGTGTTTCTTTTCTATGAAATGTTTTTTTGACAAATTTGTACATCCTATCATTTGTAGTAAGGATGCAAATTGGACGGATCGGGTCGGAATTAGCACTTTTTGAAAAACTACATTTTTTCGGAAGTAGAAAACTAATTCCAATTGTGTTCCAAAAAAAATCGAAAATCAGCATTCGAAATGAAAAATATTGTTCCAAAATATTTTCAGTTCATAATTGGGAAATTCCGTTCCAATTTTCACCCCGAATTCTGTCATTTTTCGATCATTTGTAGACTGATCCGGTTTTTTTTTCTTTTTCTAACAGGGTGAGGCAATGCTGTTGAGAATGGTTAATGGGCTTCGGTGTTTTAGACATGCAGTGGGGTTAGCTCCGGATGTATGGACAGCTATGGGTTTACGGATGGCATTAAAACCCGAGTTTCAAAGGTTTGCATTTGACATATTATCTTCATTATTAGCACACTCTTCGCACAAACTGCCCGATACTTTGTGGGTTTGTATATCAAAGATCATGCATAACTTTTCCGATAATCATCCTCGAAATTTTTAATCAATCTCAAATTTTACCTATTTTCCGTGTTTTTTATTGTCGTCACTTTCTCTCTTTCTCTCCCAATCTATACATGTAATGGTGTGATTTGTCGATCATTTCTCACTAAGCATGATTAGTAGAGATTGTGGTGAAATCGGAATCTTAAAGATGATTATAGTGCAAAATGGATATCAATGATGGTGCTTTTGAAACTTGTAGTAGCATATGATTTGTCGAAGGTTTCGCACCCAATTATCGTTACTTTCTTACTAAGCATGATTAGAAGAGAATGTGTAACACTTTGAATGGTAGATATGTTGACAAATTGGTGGGTAGGGTCAGATATCGGAGTAGTAGTTTATTGCGGTTGGAGAAGTTCAACTCCTTTTACGGCCCACCGCAACCATTTGTCCATAAATCCACTTACTTGTCTTAAGTGGTATTGTAAATGCTATACCCGGTGAAATACACTGGTAATCTTGAACCATTGATCTATATATAATAAAACACACTGACACATCGAGAGCTTAAAGGTGTGGGCAAAAGTTTTTAAAATTTAAATTGATGATTGTGAGTAATCTTTGGAATAATTCTTTTTTTACAAAAACGGCTTCATTTCCAAACGATAATTAATAGTGGCGAAAATCGGATGGGTTGGATCCGGATTAGTATTTTCGGGAAAAAAATCTATATTTATGGAATTGAAAAACTAATCCCAATACCGTTCTAAAAGAAATTGGAAAGTTGGAAATCGGAGCGGAAAACTTTTTCCACAATTGGAAATTTTCAAAGGCGGCGGATATATGTAAGTTCATTTGTTTATTAGTTCAAACCCACATAAATGAGTTTATTAGTTCAAGCCCGTAAATTAATCTAATTTTATCACATCAAGATAAAAGATGACGAGTATGCCCTTATCAACAAACTATATTTTCTAATTTGTTCAAGACCAAATAATCGGAAAAAAAAAGAATCACGACTGCCGTCGTCAGACCGCCGCGACGCCGACCAGCGAGACTTCCACCGCGCCGGCGACGACCAGCGACCCACCCACACACCATCGCCACCACCAACAAGTCTTTTTTACTAAACTATATTTTGTAAATTCGAAAATATTAATCGAGCATTAATTCTTGATAAATATGCGTGGATGCACATTAGTCTATGTTTACTTCTTGTTGGGTTGCAATGCTTTAGCTGATTTTGGAAAAAAAAAATTGAGATAGAAATTGATTTTTTTGTATGCTTTTGTTGGTTTCCCAAATCGGTTTACCCAAACCGATTTTGTAAACAAAAATCGGTGTCATAATGCCGATTTTTGTTAACCAAATCGGAGACACAATGTCGACTTTACAAGTCAAAACCGGAGTTGTAACGCCGAGTGTTTTTTTTTTCTTTAATGTTTTGTGTTTTTTATTTGATTTTAAACTAGTATTCACCCGTGCGATGCACGGGGCGACATATTTTTGACTGAAAATACATGTCTCAAAAATAAATTTAAGCAGATAACAATTATTACGGTCACTGAATCTAAGTACATAACGTAATCGACCAACAATAATAAATATGTTATAAGTGTCATGTTCTTCATAGTTATAATATAAGAATACTATTAAATATTAGTATATCGTCAAAAATAAATCTTAAAGATAATAAGAATTGCACCGAGCACCATAGGGAAATGACTGAAAAAAACATCGCACCGGGGAAAATATATAGATAAGAAACACCTGTAAAAGAATAAGTTCTTTAAAATTAAAATAAAAAACATGTTACATGAATAAATGATAAATACGAAAATATTTTCTACCTTCAAATTCGATGAAATACTTCCTTGTACACGACATTTCTAGTAACATTGGTGAGTACACCCGAATCCGACTTGATGAATATCTTAATGCCACCTCTGCTCTTAACTCTGGACACTGCAACATATAGTTGACCATGGCTGAAGACAGGCCTAGGAAGATACAAACCAACATGCGAAAGAGTTTGGCCTTGGCTTTTATTTATCGTCATTGCAAAAGAAACAATCAACGGAAATTGTCTTCTCTGAAATTTAATTGGCAGTCCGGAGTTAGATGGTATTAAAGTCATCCGAGGAATGAACACCATGTCACCGATATTTTTTCCGGAAAGAATTTTGCAACTCAGAACGTGAATGCCAGTTCTAATAATTAGAAGTCTAGTACCGTTACACAATCCTCTAGCTTGATCGATGTTTCTTATTAGCATAACGGGTGCACCAACCTTGATCCTCAACGCATGAGAAGGAACTCCGGAGCATCTTATTGTATTGAGGAATTCAGTCGAATAAATTTCTGCATTATCCTCCGTTGTGTGCTCGTCCCTACATATACTATCTGAGCTCAGGTACACCTTATCCTCTCCTGGAATGAGAGACATTAAGTGATCGTTCACAGACTCGACGCATTCATTAGTTGGTGGAAGAATTTCCCTCCCTTGAAAATAATCTCGATTGTACATGTTACTCAACAAATTCGGGTAAAAGAATTCTAGTAGGTCTCTGAATGGATCTACTGAATCACCAATCAACATGTCATCTGGAATCTCTATCGAAGCTTCACCATCATTGTCTTCCCCAACATCCCCATTACCAACATTCAGTATCCAGTCTCCAAATTCTTTTATCCCATCCACATTAGATGGAGAAGAACATGACTGCAATCTCATGTTCTTAGTCAACTTCGTGATACGACAGAAATTCCTCAGTGGAGAGGAGTTTATCGTAGCATGTACTATGTCCTGCCTTGATGCTTTGAGCACAACTGGTAAAATCTGCCTAAAATCACCTCCAAGAACAACCACCTTACCACCAAAGGGTTTGTCAGCCTGTAATATTGACTTCATTGTCTTGTCAAGGGCTTCAAAATAGTATCTATGCATAATAGGAGCCTTGTCCCATATAATAAGCTTTGCCCTTATGAGCAACTCTACATGTGGACTTTGTTGCGATATGCTGCAGGTGGAACTCTCATGTACATTTATGGGTAGTCCGAATCGAGAATGAGTTGTTCTTCCCCCGGGGAGCAATAACGATGTTATACCACTCGATGCAACGTTAATTACAATCTCTCCCTTCGAACGAACTGCAGTCGAAAGAGTTTTCCATAGAAACGTCTTTCTGGTTCCACCATGGTCATATAGAAAGAACATTCCACCACTGTCATTGGTTACTGCATCCATGACTACATCATAAACCTTTCTTTGCTCATCTGTAAAGGAAGCAAGACACTGTTGAAGTTCTCTACCCATTTCAAACCGGTCGTAATCCAGTTCATCTAACACCAATATGTTTTCTGTGTCCTCATATGAGTATTCGATTGGAACTGGCATAGGCGCGTAATTTTGCAGGCTTTTACCATTGCTTTGCAATATTTTTTCTATTTCGGTGAGAGTATAGTTCTTCAAGCTTTCATCCGATATATGTAAATCTTCAACAATAAAAAATGGATAAATTATGTGCATCTAGTTGAAATCGTACAGAGACAATATTAAAAGAATGATTAATACGTAAAATCTAATTGAATACAATACCATACAAATTGCCATACCTGGATTTTTATGAAGACGTTGTTGTTTGTAAGCAATACCATCAGCCAAATCCAACCAACAACTTTGCCAAACATGTTCGGGCCGACTTAAGCTATTGGAAAGCAGCATAACCGCAAATAACCTTCTTATATAATCCCCCTGATGCCCAAGTATTCACTTTTTTTATTGCATCTATGTATTCTTTGTCGTCATCTAGCAAACCCAACACATAACATGCATCCCTGAACGTAGGGTAGACGATGTCAAAAACTTTTCTGATGTCCTCGTAGCACGTGCATCCCCTTTGAATGTTAAGTAGCAACCTAAGGTAATAGTCTTCCCCCTTTCCAGGGGGAACATTCGCAATCCTACCGATAGAAAATCCTTTTTTCCTTGGCACCCCAGTTCGAGAATCCTCTTTATACACAAATTGTTGTGGAAAATCTCCGTACCTCAAGTCCCTTGCATGTGGATAGTTCTTGTTGGCCTCAAACCACGCCAGGAACATAGTTTGCTTGGCAGATGGCCTATCCAACACACTTTGTAACGACTGGTTTTCATTGAAGACAATTGGCTGATGATCGGGGAGATGAAAGCTTAGCCTAATTACGGACGGGTCTCTGTAATGAATATCAAAGTTAAACAACCTCCACATTGCCTCACATGCCGAAAGATATCTGCAGTCGTAGTACATCTTTATCTCATCACGAATCTCAGCACCGCCATCTGTATTGCGTATCTTATAAAATGCCGCTGTGACTCGGTCATGCCCCTTGTTTACGTATTTGAACAGGTATTTAATTGACTTGCTTTGATTGCATAGCTCGATATTAATGTGAGCTCGGTATTTACTCAACAATATACGATTGTAGGGGACCACAAACCCATTATCAAGAGTAGTCTTCTTCTTCGTAACTGTTCTGCCATCTTCCCTTCTCCTATACACTGTAAACCCATCTGCATCTGATTCAGTGCGCTACATAAACGGCTTTGGAAATCGCTTCGTGCAAACTCTATCTTTCATACATGGAGATTTCAAATTCGCCTGACTGCACGGTCTATGTATCATATACTTCTCCACCAACTGGTACATCTTTCTGTCGTTTTCTTCGTCAGGAATTTCAGCACATATGATCCTGTCAATTTCTTTTCTTCTGGATTCTTGGGCTTGTCGTCATTATGCAACCACAATAAAATATGTGCATGCGGTAGACCTTGTTTCTGAAATTCTATTGTGCATACATCTGCATAAAAAATGTAAACATACGGTATTAAAAAATATGAATTAATTTAGTTAATGAAGCAAAAAGTAGTTAAACTCACACATGACTAAATTATCTAATTTATATAAACGTATTAATGGATATCTAATTAAATACTCACATGCTTTAATACGTTCGAATATACGGCCCTTCTTGATTTCCGTCATCATACTATCGAGCTTCATTTTGAACACACGACACATAATGTCTGGCCGATCCTACGGCCTGAGATTTGTATCTTGTAACACCCTTTGTATTTCTGGCCATTGGGATTGCATGTGATGGTGATGAAGAGGGTTGGAAATCCAATCCAGTTACATATTTGAAGAACATCTACGAAGTTGTTAAACATATACCATGGACCTACGATGAACGACCTTGGAATTATAATGCGTTGTCCAACCGATTTACCCTCAGTGTCTCCTTTAAAAATCTTTTCTTCGATACCCTTGTGCATGTCAACCCTAAGTTGATCCTGATTGAACCTTATGAAATTCAACCTCTGTGACTCAACCATCGAAAATCCATCAACACAGAACTGCTGAAATAACTTCTTGGAATGCAAAAGTAACGAATGTTCTCCATGTCGTTTCTGAATTAGGTATGCAAAGAATTCTCGCATGCTTACCTTCCTTCGTTTTCTATTATCAGCAAATGAAGATTCTCTCAAACTGATATCATCTCGATAACCATCTTCACCGTAAGGAAATAAAAGAGGATACTGTAGAGGCAAGTAAAGAGGATGGAGCTCACTGATTCGTTGAAGCTTATTTGAGCGCGTCTCAACTACAATATCCCTAACACCCTCTTGTGTGTCAAAGTCACCAACGATCAAGCCTGCTATTTCACTTGCGTTAGGAAGATTGTACGTCCTGCCATCAGTACTGCGACTCTTTACCAATCTGAGTTTTACTCCTTGATGGCCATCATTGGAAAAACGATCTCGAACAACACGGTAATGTTGTGCAAGTACATTGTTACCGTCAATCATATCTTTCAACGATGCAACGATGGCTGGGTCAAGATTGTTAGATTGATTTACGGACCTGTCAAATAAAAAATAATGTAATTATAATTTGTAAGCTCTATATTCCTTATAACAGGAATATAATTCCGAAAAATTTACCTGACGGCATCAATTCGATTCTGAATCTCATTTTCTGTGTCGAAAATGTAAAGTTGGGCAAACTTAGGCCTAGTGCCTTCTTCCGGCAATAAACTGCCCAGTAGATGGTAATTCTGTCCGTGTAACAGAAATGTGTATGGACCAGATCCGTTATTAATAGATGTCTGCACTTTTCTACCAAGCGACGTGAAAGAAAACATCATATTATACAATCGTACGTTCTCTTGGAAATGTTTGCTCCTCCGATCAGTGCCAAACACTAAATTGTTAAGTGTAGGAGGTGCATCTCTTATTTTTGGGAGCTGGACTTTCCCGGACATACAACATAAGCCAAATATAATCCGTACAGTATTGTGCGTATATAAATGTGGGGTGAAAGAACGATTGAAAAATATAAAATCAATAATTCTTGAGTGAAAATATTTACGTACAATAATTTGAAGAATGTGGCTTGATTATTGAAAATAACATTGGGTTAGGTAGATTATATAGTTTGGAATATACGCATAATTTGGAAATTACATTAAAAATTAAAAATTCAAATTTTAAAATGAGCTTTAATCTAGGAATAAATGATATATGGTGATATTTTAAAAATATAATTGATTTAAGTTAACATTGCATAAATTAATACTCTTTCTATAATCAAAATATTTCAAAATATATGAATATTTAAAATAAAGTTATAAAATACACACACTATATTCATATCAATATTTAATTATTACAGTCCACGGATTTCATAATTAATGTCAAAATTAATAGAAAAAGGACTAAAAATCTTATATAGATGATTAATATATTTGCCTTAAATAATGTATATTTTATTGAAAATATCGGATCCTATTACCATAAACACAACGCGAGATTAAAAAAACATAAATATTAATAGGTTTTAGTAGAATGTAAAATATTTAATTTCCATATTGAAAGAGGCATTTACGTGTGAATAAGTTGGTTACTAAACATGTTATAATAATTTATTATTGTTAATTTAATACATGTAATTATAAAAAGTATTTTAACCGGTATTAATTTATCAATTTTATTTGAAAATATATTAACACATGGGTGATTAATCTGATTCATACGTAAATGTTTCATAAAATATATTACGTAGATCGTAGAATATAATATAGATTATTATATTTATAAATACAAATATTTACGTAAAAATAACAATGTTATCTATATGGGTACTCTCTTTCGTATGTCAATGTATAATCTTTGTAACGCAATTAATGTTGAAATATATAAACAATTTTATTAATATGCATAATTCATTTTGGCATAAATGAATAAATACGTTTGCCGCATTAAAAAACATAAGTAACTTTATTGAAATAAGCTTCATGCAAAAGTATTAAGGACGTTTTCTCAAAATAGAAAAACATATTGTGTCTCTAAATACGAAATACCAACGAAAATCGAAATGAATAACAAAAAATGACGAATAAATTTAAATAATACATTACTCCATTTTCTCTTGTTTGATCTTTTTCAATAATTTGGTGGATGATTGCTGGACGGTAGGATCATTGAGAATACTATCCAAAATACAATCGTTGGATCGCTTCATTGGAGTAATAGCGTTGACATCATCATCCACAATAACATTAGTTGTGATATCACCATCCACAATGCCATCGTTAAAATCAGAACACGTTCCAGAGTCCTATAAATTAGCAAAGAATTACGTAAAATATTTGTGTATTTGTGAAACATCTCTTACGTGCAACATATGAACAATTAATCAAAAATAAATTGTCAACCTTTGATGAGAAGACACACCCATCGTTGTCATAATTGACACTCAGCGACGATGAACCATTATCATGTTTCTGCAATATTATAAGATACATACACATTCAAAACCACGTATTAAAATAAAAAGAAAGAATTATATTAAAGTTAATTATCAATACCGCATCCATTTCATAATGCTTCAAAAATGAAGCAATGATAGCATCATTTGTGCAAACTTTTTGAACATTGTAGGTTTTATGATCTTCATTGGCAAAATTATCACCCTTGATAGCAATTTTGAATAACATTCTTCGATCAATTAACCCCTCAAGTTCCATAGGATACTCCACAGGTTCTTCTCCCTTCATAGCATTAAAAATAAATAAATGATAAAAATACAAAATTAATTGATTACTCTAAAAAAATGTATATTTTAGATAAAAAGAAAAGGATGAGTGGTTGATCAATGTACCCTGTTTTGGAGTGTTTGAATTAATGCTTCTACAGGAATATCTAGCATCATGTCAGCTTCTTTCCCAAATACAATCATCGAAGCTGAATTTGTATCGTCCATGACAATGACTTCAACTTTATAACTAAAGAGAATAACAAAATGTGAATGACAAGTATTTGTAGAATAGTAATATAATTAACCCAAAGAAAAAAAA